CATAACGTATGAGTTATATGCCTATAAAACAAGTAGAAATTAAGCAATCACTTTTTGGTAGGGTCGAAACTGAAGAAAGTATGCAAAATGTATATAATGTAGAATTAAGTAGCATTGATAGGAGTTATAGATGCAGATTTGAAGCTTTAAGTCAAAAACAAATCTGTTCTGATATTAAACAGATCCCACATGAGGTTAAAGAGTTACGAAAACTTAATATTAAAATAAGTGATTTGGAGAAAGAATTTTGTAATTTTGATAAAGGAATTAAGTTGTTGATAGGGGCAGATATTGCCGGAAAATTATTTACGGGTAGAATAAAAAACTTGAGTGCAGGACCTTGTGCGATTCATACTAGGCTAGGGTATACTTTAATAATTGGGAAGTTAAATGTTGGCAGTATGCCAAAGGGGGAGAGCGAGGGTTCTTGTTTCATTTCTTCACTTCTCGTGAAGGAATGATTTATGGAAATGAGACGCATTAGGAATTACGGATCCAGAGATAGACAAAACAAAAACTCAGTTGGAGGAAGAAACATTAAATCATTTCGAGAATACCATTCAAGTCAATTTGGAGGGGAGGTATGAAATATCTTTACCATGGGTTTTAGACAGCTCGCTTTTGCCTGATAATAAAAATNGGGCATGAAATATTAAATGATCATGGGTAAAAGTACCTTTCCCGTCAGGCTAACCGTTGGAGGTTCTCGTGGTTTTCCTCTCTATGTAACACAAATGTGGGTTAGTTCCATCAAAAATTAATCCACGAAGGCAAATTTCTCCCAATACTTGATCCAGGAGATCCCCTGTCTACTGGATTGGGTTCAAAATAACAAGGCTACAGAATTGAGCATTGGTAGTCGTAAGCCCTGCTCAACGACGGTTATAAAATAAAATAAATTTTTCTGACTGCAAATTGTGCTTCATTTAAAAAAAAGAAAATATTAGTTATAGAGTGTGGAAAGAAAGATTCAGTAGGCAAATCTGTAATACAAGAAATATCCTACTCTCCCCTTCCTTCTAAAGTAGGCCTACATCTTAACAGTAAAGAATTTTATTGCTGAAATATTATCATGCCAATGTATCTAAGTGCTTTGAGTAGGTGTAGTTCGGTATAAAAAAGATCATTTTCGATGTTACGATGATAGGGTGAAGAACTGTAATAAGTAAGTTAAAATTTTTTTATTCTTTTTAAATGAATTTTTATTAAAATATGCACTATTAATTTTATAATTTTTTTTCCGTTCATTTAGTCAACAAAAAATGTTTATTCCCGATACTACGTTTAATTAAACTATCGAATTTTATTTTATTTCATAACCGACATTCAACTCCTTACTCCTCAACGTTCAATTCCGTAGTCGCGTTATTTTGAACCCAGAAGACAAGGAAACTCCTGCATCGAGCATTTTATTTTACCGTCGATGAACAGCTGACCCAATTTTGGGTTTACGACTTCTAAAATTCAACTCCGTAGCCTTGTAATTTTGAACAAATCTAGAAGACAAGGAATCAGTACCCCCATATGTATTATTTGTTATGGTTACATGGAGGACTTTGTGACTCGACATATTTAATGTGCATCAGTTGCCATTTACGTCTTCAGCCGGCGGGGATTGAACCCACGACCTCTTGGACATGGCCCCAGTACCCTACCAGCCAGGCTATCCCGGCCCTTGCATCGAGCATTGAGGAAACTGGCCTCCATAGAAAACTGTTTGCTGTAACTGACCCGCATTTGTGTTACATGGAGATGAAAACTTCCCGCTGTTAGCCCGATGGCAATGGGTTTCGAACTTTTGATCCGTTTACCACTAAAGGTAATATGTATAGATTAACCACAGTATTCAAATCTGGGTTATACCTCATTAGGAAGGCTATTTTTGGTTCTATTTTAGGTTTTATTTTCAGTTTAGAACTAAATAATAAAAAGCGTATTAATATATTTGCTATTAATTATTTAGCGTATACATTAACGTAGCATGTTATTATTAGTAAGTATAATTTTCTATGTTGATAGAATGTGTTTTCTACCGTGTTGTTTTTATCTTTGGATTAATTATTATTTAACAAATTCTTTCTTTCAAATTTAAAACATATTTTCATATTCAGTCGGATTGTCGAACTTTAATTTTGTGAATTTTTTTATTTTGCTAATTTTTCCGAGGAACCAAGAACGTTTTTGAAATTTCTTCGTAAAATAACTTCCAAATAGCGAAATGAATTTTTGTATATAACGAACTTTTCTTTGAGGTCCACTTTCACTATTTCACAAAATATTTTAGAACATAGTGGGAGAAATGACCTTGAATTATTTTTCGAAGTCACTGCTCTATGTAATGTTTTACTTCTTTCTCTAAAAAGTTAAATTAGAGAAGGAAGTAAAATCCCTTTTTGTTTGCATTTCAAACGAAATTAAAACAAAATTAAACGGATTTTATCAGTAGCAATAAAATTCATGTTGTAATGCATGTTTAAAATTACTTTTATTATAAATGCAACTATAATTTTAAATATAAATTTTGTTTTTTTCATTGTATGTATATGGTAGTATAACGCTGGATAATGTTTTGCTCGATTCTTGCTTTCCATGCAGATTTCTTTTATGGTTAGGATTTATAAAATAAATGGTAGAGTTCACAAGATGCATCCACTGCCATTTTAATTATGTCTAGGATTTATGAATTTAAAGCCTGTTTTGTGTTGTTCGAGTATTTTCAAAGGTTATTTTCTATTTAACAACTTTTAGATATAACGAACTTTGTATCGAGATTTAGAGACTTCGTTAAATAAAGGTCCGACTGCATTCTTAAAAATATCTTTTAAAGTAAAGTTTAATTTAAAAGTTGATTTAAAATAAAATTCAAAATTTACCTGATTTAAACCGTAATGATAATTTAAAAAAACAACATTTATCTATCTTCCAATCGTATGCCTTGTTCATTTTAAATAATTTAATTTATAATAAAAAATCCGGGTTTGGCTGGACTCACGTTCGTGAGAACGGGATTTCGAATAAAGCCTGCCGAAGACTCCTTGCGTAGCAAATGGTGCACGTTGAATTTGTCGGGTCGGTCACAAAGTCCTCCATGTTCACATCACAAATTATACCACTGGATTGGAGATTAATCGCTCTCTGATTCAGGTAAAAATTACGATGATTGAATAGATGTATGAATGGGTCCGTCCCATAAAACGGGTGTGACGTATGGGTGTGGCAAAAGTTGAATTCTCGGCTATAGGTGTTGCCACTGGAAATAATCGCACCCCAGTGTTTCATTGGCCCACGACAACAACAACATAGGGGCTGTTCAAAAAGTACGTACACAAAAATTTTAACCCCCTTCGTACAAGGTCTTACTCCCCCCCCCTCTTAGAGTACGTATATTTTATTAGTCTACCCCCCTTTTTCATAAAAATTAAAATAATTATGTTTTAAATAAAATTAAATATTTATTTAATATAATTTATTAATTTAAATTATTTAAACAATAACACCGAACTTTATGTACGTACTTTGTATAATACCTCCCCCCCCCCTTCGGGATGTATGTACTTTTTGAACTGCCCCATATGTACTTCTAATTAATAATTTTCTTGTAAGTGAACATCAATAAAATATTTTCAAAAAAAGTGAAGTTCATTAAAAAAAATGATATTATATTTAAGAAATGACTATTTTTCTCGATTAATTAGGAAAAATCTATTAATAACTTTTCGCAGCTGGCTCTAATGAGAATAACTAATTGAAATTCCTTCAATATTTTCATAACAAGATACAATAATAATATGTTGAGTTTGTTAATATGTTACAGATTATGATGTTATCATAACACATCTTATCTAAATAACAAACAATTAAGATTGCTTCTTATATAATTTTAGTTCAATTATTTGACCATTTTTAACTCAATCACAAGCAGATCCGATTGCTTAGTGAAAAGCTTTTTCGGTGCTATAAATGGGGACAACATAATTTTGAGGCTATTCATGGAAGCTCTGTCAACGAATACATCAAAATAAGTCGCTTAAAACTTGAATGAACCCTTTTTCTTTGACATTAAAGATCTTAAATTACACTAGAGTTAGAGGTAAACCTGGAGTTAGCCTAAAATCAGATAGCTTGACTGTGTGGGGAAGAGAATTTTAAAATCCTAAGAACGTTAGTTGATGTTTTTGCTAATTTCATCTATATTTGTTCTTAAAATTGTTTTTTTTTTCTTGCTAGTCATTAATTGTTAGCCTTTTTTTATTAATTGTTAGTCGTTTTTCCGTTAATAGTTAGCTTATTTTTTTGTCAGTTATCCTTTGTTAATTTGCTTTTATAACTATTAATTGCATAACTTATTGTTAGCTATTATTTCCTTATGTAAGTTAATATTTGGCTTCCTCTGTTTATTAAAATTTCTTACTTGTTTTAACATTATGAAATTGTCATGATTAAGATGTCAGACACACTCACCAGTATGCCGAAAAATTATATATAAATTACGAAATTAAGAAAATCAATAAGTTAAATTTACTGCACTGAAAGTATATAGAACTCATAAAATAAGTTCAAAATGTAGAGAAAACATGGCAAAAATTTTAAAATAAAAATGAAAGAAGAAATCATTTAAGAAAATTCTAATATTGTATCAATATAGTCAAAGCAAAATATATCAATACAACAGTGTAAGGAGCATTCAAAAAAAATCTTTTGTAATAAAATAAAAATAACACATTAAGTAATAAAAATCACGTAAAAAAATGGAAAATAAAAAGTAAAGAAGAAATTATCTACTTTTGAATTTATATATGTATATATATACATTTAATTTAATTTACACTTTTCTCGTAATAAAAAAAAAGCATTATAATTTTTATTATATGTTTTCTGAAATTTGGTGGCACACCACAGTGCCGTTGCACTGTGATAAAGAATCACTGGTCAAAACTATACATATAGATGACCAAAACATACTTTTAAACATGGAAAATGTAAATTGTTTTAAAATTTACCTTTTTTCTTCTATTAAGCTCTTCAATTTCAAGTGAGGAATTAGTACTTACTGTTCATCTAGAACTTATAAAAATTTGTCAACCGTAAATAATTCTGTCACTATAATATCAGCTACTGAAATGCATTTTCAAAACGTATTAATACCTCGAATTAATTTTACTACACACCTGGCAATCGACAATGGTACTTATAAAAATAAAAGATTGGTTTCAATAAAAGTTCCAAACACACAAATAAAATGAAGGAAGGCTCTTATCAAAGCTTGTTTGACAAAATTATTCACACTATTGTATCTTATCTTAAGTTTGTAAAGAAAGATAAGTCTCACTGTTACACTTTTAGTGTAATGTCACTCATTTAAATCTTACCTTCTAATTATTTTCATCGCACCCTTTATTTCACATTAATATATTTGATGCATTTCTTTTTTACATTATGTTCATATTTACAATGGATTCTTCCTCATTTAAACATCAGTTTAAGCTTTATTTTATACGAGATTTAGTTTATTTGATGCATTATTCTTTCCATTATTGATATGTGCAACGGATTCTTCTTAATTTAAACATCAGTTTAATCTTTATTTCACATGAGTTTTAATATATTTTATGCATTTCTTTTTTCCATTATGCTTATATTTACAATAGATTTTTCATAATTTAAAAATCAGCTTACCCTTTATTTCACTCGAGTTTTAATTTATTTGAAGCACTTTTTCCCCATTATGTTCTTATTTACACCACTATTGTTCTTATTTTATTCATGGGTGCTTGGTGTGATGTATGCTAGGTAGCAGTTTCAAATTAAAACGAAATATCTCAAATCTTGAATTCGTGTTTCTTTTTTAAGTGTCTTCTTCAAAAATTTACAAAATTTTTCATTATTAATTTGTTAACTTTTGATGAACTTAGTTTTTTTGAAATGTAAAACCTAAAATAGCAAAACATCAGCATTTTGTATGAAATTCTAAAACACTTAATGACTTTCATCTCTTACGATGCCTCAAATTTTCAAAATTCTAATTAAAGCAGTAAAAATTAAACTCAGTTTTATATACTTTAGTTTTTTAAATTTAGTAACTAATAACAACCAAATATTTACAAATTAACTTGAACCCATTCCTATGTTTCATGCAAATATACTCGTATTTCAGAATACTTTTTACAGTAAAAATCCTAATAATTCATAAAAAAAAATTAGAGCTATCTATTAGGAAGGATAATAAACTGGTCTTTCCCTAGTGCTTTATTTTCATTTAATAAATTAATAAACTTGAGAGAATATTTATCTGACTTCACTTTAATTGCCTGCTGCATAATTAAGAAACTGTCTTTATTTGGCCATTTTAAACTTTTTCAAAAGTACCTGAAGCTTATCATTGCATATTTTGCTTTCATTTTCGTGCCTCAGTTTTTGTCATTGTTTTCATCAAACTTAATTTTGGATTTATGTATTTCTATAACAATCAAATATTTTCTAAAGTTCCATAAGTATATATAAAAAGAAAATTACTTGTAGAAACGCTCTATTAATCCAATATCTTTGTCTTAATCTGGTTGGTTGGTGTTGGTTGGTGTCGTATCCTCTATTGAATCATATTCAGTGGTGTGCTTGAATAGTTTTTGTTATTTCTATGGCATTAAAAGAATACAAATCCTCTTCTGTGGGGTAGTTTAAGAGGTGAAGGCCTGCAGCGACTGCAGGGCAGTTAAAAACATGATATGGTGTCAGTTCCACATTAAGACAGTTTTTGTCTTAATCTGAATTATTAATAAAAGAACTAAAACTATTCGTATTCTAACAACGTTTAAATACCCTGCTAGACCTTGAATGCGACTAGGGAACCCAATACATTTTGGCCAGATTTCTATCTTAAGTGCTTTACTTTTTAAGGGGGCAAAAAGATCTATGCAAATATTCTGGTATCCTTTAAGGACTTTCTAAGGTCGATCTTACTTAAAATCGTCTTTTTGTCAGATTAAGATAATAAAAGCAACGTTTTATGTCGAGCTTTGGAGTAAGAGTATTAAAACACTTAACAAAACTGCACACATTTGAAAATTTCTTATTATTGCTTAATAAATATGCGTTGTCGAGAAAGTCACGATAAGTTGAAGGTTAAATGAAAAAAGTAGTGAAAAACTGTTTGGTATAACAAACTGGTTCATGTAAGCATGAATAAACATTGCGTAATAATTCCTCTTTTTTATCAAGCCAATTTTTCTTAATTCAAAGTTATTTTGGACAAAAAGGTGTACATTTAGTTCTCCAACAAAGTCCGTTAAACCCTGTAATCGCAGAGTGCACAAAAGAGCTGTCTTAATTGTATTAGAAATGTTGCTTTAAATTAAAACTTAAAAAAAAAATATATATCGTGTTTATTCAGTTTAGAAAATGGTTTAATTTAGGAACACAAACAGATAAATTTATTTTTTCTTTAAAAAAATAAAGCAATTTTTCATGAGGAGTTTGATATTTAAAATGCAAGTATCTGGAAAATATGGTGACTAAAGTTAAACTTTATAAAAAATTTTTTTATAATATTGACTACACTCAATATTTTAAAGAAATCTATTCGCATAGAGTATCTCAGAAAATATGGACTCCCTAAAAGGTGACCCGGGATCGAATCCCAGCAATATTTGGTAGATACGAACTCTGCACGTTTTCAAGGTTTTCTTTTCCATGTAACGCAAATACCATCCTAAAATCGCCCAATTTCTCCCAATACTTAATGCAGTTTTGGGATTTCAAAACATGTAAATAATATTTTATTCTTTTAAGTAATATTTTATTTTAGATGGGCAAGCATGAGAAGGTGAGTAATTATCGCTTATGCAAAAAATTATTGAATAAACTATGTAAAAGTATTTTTCAATCTCAAAACTAAATTCAAAACTCTAATCTTAACTTTATGCTAAAAACCACCCTACGAAAGAATGAAAGTATAAATTTTTGAGAAATAAATATTTTGATTAACATTTTAGAAAAGATACTTTTTGTATTAGGGTTTACCTTCGAGATTTATTTTACTCATCGAAGCAGTGTCTTCAATCGTTCAAGGGTCTAATCTTAGGAAAAATGAACTAAAAACAAATCTAACCACTCTGATTAAGTTTTGATCTAATGATCGGATTTTCACGTTCTAGGACTCATTCTTAATGGCTGGAAGGGGTAAAGACAAATATGCTAATTAATTAGTGCTTACGATATTTTAGGTTACGAAATTAGATACAAAAATTTTCTTTCTATAATGAAGCATATTTTTTTTCGATGTTTGACCATGAAATTATAGGGGTGGTCGCAATCTCGGGGCCCCAGTATTTTGGTCAGGAGAGAGGTCCTGGTTTGTTTATTTTACTTTTGGGACATTGTTTTGAGGACTTTTTAAGGGAATTTGCTTATTAACTTTTTTTGTCTAAAGATAATTTTATGCAGAAAACAATTTTAATAAATACTTATTATTTTTTATTTAAAAATGGTTGAAAATTTTTGAATTATAAACTATGCAAATTTTGAAAAACATAATTTTACTTGGCAAAATACAAAATTTGATCGAAATGAGTCAAATAGCTCTTGAAAAATCGAATTTAAAATATGTGACTTTTTTTTAACCTCCTTGGAACTATTCAACCGATTTTGCTCAAGTTTTGCAATTTGAAATGCAAAATTATACTTTTTAAAATGAGGGAAACACATTTACATAAAAAAATTACCTTACAATTTGAAATTTATTTCGATCATTATTATCTGAAATAAAAAAAAAAAAATACTTACTAAAATATTTTTTTGCATCGAATTATCTTTGGAGGAAAAATTTTAAATATGCGCAAAAATTTTTCCTAGCTTAAAAAAATTTCGAGCTATACTGAAATACGCAAAAAATAAAATTAACATTAAACGGTCCAAACTTTGTTCTGCTCTCTTGAGCAAATTATTAGGACCTTATTTCCTAGATTCCGACTGCCCCATTTATTTTGTGAGTTAAAACTACAAATACGTACATTTTGAGGTGTGTTTTTGTAACTTGAAATATTCTCTGCATAACTTGATCAGCATATTTGAGGTCCCCCCTTTTAGCCATTAAGATTGAGTTAAGACTAGTGTTTGTGGAGCACTGTACATCATTTATTTACAATAGACAATATTTTAACTTCAAAACTTACACACAAAGACAACGATACAATTTCAATTTATTATTTTTTTAATAGCTTCTTATGTACTAAAAATTTTAATTTTTAAAGTGGAACTAGTATTAACGTTTTCAATAATTTACTTAAATTCTTGAAATTTTAGGCATTTATAATGGGTTTGCAGGGAGTGAAGCGAGCAAGGTTTATTCAGAGCAAATCATAGAAGATTGCATAGTAATCTTCGAGGATCGGGGAGCATCAGCAAAGAGTGGATTTCAGCTCACTAGTTCATATTTTTTTGACGATGTAATTAAAAAACAAAATTCCAACTTTCAGAAAACTATTTGAAAAAGTTACCAAAAAAGTGCAATCTTACAAATAAGAATTTTGAATTTGATTTATTCAGAATTCTTTTAATTTCGTGTCTTAAAAGTGCTAAAAAGTAAAGAAAAAAAATATTTCTTTCCAATTCAAATTTTAAAGAATACAATATTTCAATAGCAAAAATAATAAAAACTAGATACTTTTATCTTACAGATGTGAATTTTTAAGCAATTCGCTACTTAATTTAGATGTATTACTTAAAATAGTGTATCATTGTTGTAGTTTTGTTATTAATAATATATTGATTTTTTATAACCTGGATTTTCCCAGAACTGAGAGTAACAGAAAGAAACAGAATCCTGATTTATTTATGACACGCATATATAATGAACAGAGTAACTGCGTTTCTTGTGAAACGTGATGTAGGAGAACCTTCTCTAGAGGACATTCAAATAATTAATAAAATCTTAAACAGCATATGTGTAGATTTACATTTTCTTCCATCTGGGAACTCCGAAATTCTGATTCGCGAATGGGATGGCGCACAGCATCCTCCTGTGATGTTTCATTTTATTTGACATCTGGAACGGGACGTGGTGATAGGACCTGCTATCTTACTTTAGTTTCATTTGGTGTTGAAGGCAGATTTTCGTTTTCAAATGGTTTTATTTGTCATGATGGATCATAGTATAGTTTCATGAGCATCACGGTATCCGTAGTTTTTTTACGCTTAGTGGAACGTCTTCGATCTCATAGGTAACATTAGAAACTGCTCATTTTAAACTATAAGTTCCAAAATATTTTTACAA